CCCTTCCCTGTCCTTGAGCCAGAAGTCAATTCTCAACCAATTCATTGTCTTTGCCAACATCCACTTCTGAAAATACCCCATAATCCTGCATGTTACAGAAGGCATCTAGCTTTAACTTGTTTGATCCTTTGAGTTCAGCAGACATCAATGTGCATGTATTTTCCTTTAAAGTGTCTTCTCAGATATGGCCTTTTCCATGTTTGTCATTATCACCCTGCTTCATGTCTTCATTATTTAAGTTTCTAGCGACAGTTTCAGAGCTGTCTTAATTCAATCAAATATAAAGAGGGGAAAAGCTGTACTTTTTACTTAGTAGTTATTGTCCTAAATATACACTCACTCTCTTTTCCTCAATTCCTAAAGCCTCTCAAGAACATCTTCTGACTTTCAAATTATCTTCAGTTATAAGTCCTTCTTTGATAGTTATGATTCATGGTCAACTATGTAAAAGCCCATCCCACCTCCAGCAAAATATTAGGCCCACATCCAGCTCAAAGCTTCTACCATTTCACAGCCTCATGCCTGACTGTAGCTTGCTATCTCTCTCCTCCTCTCTCTTTCCCTTCTGTTCCGTTTCATCCAAATATGTCCCTCCTGATATTACTATTTCACCGTCATCACTGGGTGGCAGTTGCAGCCCTCTATGTGGCAGGGATGGCTTGGATAAATGTCGGCTTTCCTTGAGAGGTCCCAGGAGAGTCTCTACAGAGCTAAAATCCCTGATATGAGTGTTGTCCTCATAGCTGATCTCTTGCACTGCCAACAGAGGAAACATCCCAAGGACTTCGCCAGCTGGAGCCTGCTCCTCTCAGAAGGCCACCATCCTGGGCAAACTTCCGACTGGGTAGCCAAGCTGAGCATCCACTTGGCTTATGGGAAGCTCACTCATCTGAGCCACATTGCAGCTCAATATGGTGGTTCTCTAGTCTTACCATGGCAAGCTTTGCTCTTCCATTTCTGGCCATCAGAATCTTTTACCTGGAAAGCAAGAATATTTTCTGTACTCACACAAACTGCCAAACCCAAGGTCCCATGCCAAACTCTCCTGCATCTCTCACCACGGCACCCTCTAGCCGAATGGCTTAGACACTTCTGCCCCTCAGTAAGTATTGACTGTGAAATGCAAATGCTTCCAGTTTCTCTGCTTCCAATTTCCCTGAGTGATGAAGTAGGTGTGTGCAATAGTGGCGGATAGAGGGACTATGGAAATAACTCTTCTTTTCTTGTTAGCTCAGATACCACCACTCATTGGCCAACACATTCAAAGTGAGTCCAAATCCATTTGAATCTGCTGCAGAGCCCCACATGACTTGCTATCTCCCTTCCCATCCTACCAGCATCCGCCTGACCTCCTCCAGCTTCCTGTCTCACTCTGTGCCCTCCTTTGCTACTGGATTCTTTGATGTCCCTTCTACAAGCCAAGCACTTTGGGGGCTCAAGTTCTTTGCACATCTCACTTCCTATACCAGGAAACTTCCCTTGCTTCTTCTCATCCCTTCCTTCAGATTTCTGCATGGAAAATTCAAGCTTTCTCAGGCCACTGACTTAATACACTGTATATTTATATGATTGTTCTGTTCATTTCACTCTAGAAAAATGTGTTTTGATACAAGGGACTTTATTTCTCTTGTTCACTGATAAGAATAGAAGGACTTCTGGCTTCCACTAGATACCTAATAAATATTCATTAAAGTTTGTACTTTCATAAACTCCCCTCTAGTTCTATTGGTTGGGCCTGGTTAGGGTGATAGGTGTTATTTCAGAACTTAGAAGCATCTTGATGTTTCCTGTAAAAGAGAGAAACTTACTACTCTTAAATGGAGGAACTCATCACCTGTCATCCCCAGCATGGAGCAATCATTGAAATTCCTAAATAAGAGAAAACCCAAAATCACTTTCAGTCACTCTTGGGTTACTAGTGTAGCCCAATAATGTGTCTTTGACAGTTGAAGTGGTGACCATTATGCTGGTGGCCATGATATCATGTTGTGAAACAGAAGTTGAATAGTAAGTCTGTTATCAGTGTAACAGAGTGAAAAAGAAATGCCCAACCAGAGTGTATGACCGCTCGATGACTCCATGTATTAATACGTGTAGACATGGTAGCTTTTATCAGAACCTATTTAAGGTAATTTAAATTTCAATCTCTACTGCTCTGAGAGCTAAATAAACTCTTATAGTTATTTCTTGGGAAAATCTGCAAATAAAGTTCTGTTTATGTTATGCCCAAGTTCATGCACTTAAACATACCTATACAAAAAGTTTTCAGCTTATTTTACCCAATATTTATGATTCATTCCCAGTGCTTAAAGATGGTCTTCCTACTTACTCTTAAGCATCAAAGCAATGAAACCATTACTCACATTAATAATGGTGCATATGTCTCAGAAATGTCTTTCATTTTCAAATCGTATCCAAAAGACTTCCCAGGTCCCTCCAGTTTATTCTAATGAGAAACATACAGGTGTTAAATCTCTTACTCTGCTTTGATCATTTGCTTCTGTGTTACTGATTCAAATCCTCAGATGTTGAACTGCTAATGTTGTCATAGGAAATGTAAGTAGTCTCACTTAGAAGTTACGTTGCACACCTAAAAAAATCAAAATGGCATGGTGTTCCATGCAGTATTCTCTGGACCTTACTAGTTCACTAGCTTTTGTGGATAAGTTAGAACCTTGAATGTCACTTAATTGTAGTCTTTTCTATAGTTGATTATGGGATAAATGCAAAAGAGCTCTCTGAAGAGTATGAAATTAACTTGAGAGTTGGATACTTCAGAATAAAAGCACTGACTATACTAGTAACCTATGAAACTGTTCTCTCCTAGATGACATTAATTTCCTAACTACAGAGACTTATTACTAGAATGTGTTATGTTTGTACCCCCAAGAAAGTGAAGTAATAATTTTTTAGCAGTCTATTAAAATGTCAAGGTTTATCATAACTGCTACTTTTTAATGTAAATGTTTGGGCTTAATTGAATTCCTTATATGAGATGTCACCTGGAATTCTGATAGGATCAAAAATATCCTATAAGGTTTTTTTTCTTCTTTTTTAAAAAAGGTACATTTAAAGTATTATTTTACACAATGGTAGGAAATTGTTCAATGTAAGTTATTGTGAGACTTTTACAGTAAGACTTTTGAAGAATAGGGACCAGGCTCCCATGTGCTGTCTCCCCTTCCACACAGATTCTATGATTGGTTAAATGTTTTGGATGGAAATTTCAGAATTACAAACAGTGTATTCCTCTCAAGTGTCAGAGTTCATTCATTTTTTGAAAACAATAATGTAAGTATGATTATTATTATGTAATTATCTTTATATTTCAAAAAAAAGACTTTATTTGCCACAGTATAGTCCACTAAGATAGCATGGGAATTTCTGGGGCTTTATTAACAACTTTGACTACTTTCTACTTACTGAGCTTATTAAGAAATGCTAAAGATAACACATGTGTGTGATCGAAGCAGTCTTTCTGGAAAGTAGACCAAAGTGCAGAATTAAAGTTCTGTAACATTCATCTGGGAGTAAATCCCTTTATTCAGGATTATCTCCTCTGTGAACAGCTTTACATGATGACTCATTCCCTTTTATAAGTGAAAGATTAACAGATCATTCAAAATGCACTGAAGTTTTGGTCTCATGTTACAGCCTAGTTGTAACCCCCAAAAAAGTATATCTGCATTTCAAATAAAATTGTGTCAATATTTTAAAAATTAAATATCTTTTTAAAGAATATGATGATGTAAAGGTATCTTAGTATAGGACTCTCCGATTCTTCTATTTCTGACCAGAAAGCGTATCTGACCATGTTAGTGAAAGAATGATTGGAGAAATAAATCCATTTAGGCAGTTCAAAAATGAGGATATGCTGAAGTGAAGTACATTTGAAGGAAGTTAATAGTATTGAAGATTTTATCAATTTAGCCATTTATTTTGGCTATAAGTAAGAAAACACCCGGGCCAAGGATTTAGCTCATTGGCACCATCCCTGCCTGGCAAGAAAAAGTTTCTGAGTTCAATCCCTGGTACTAGAAAAAAAAAAAAAAAAAGGAAATGGGCCAGGGATTTAGCTCAGTGGTTCTGTCACCTGCCTCGCAAGTACAAGGTCCCAAGTTCGATCCCTGCCCCGTACCAAAAAAAAAAAGAAGAAGAAGAAGAAAACACCCAACAATAGAGACTTCAGCAAAGAGATGCAGATAGGTATTGACAGTGTCTCAAAGATATCAAACCCCATGTTGCCATCTTTGTGGTTCATAGGGACTTTCCAAATCACTAAGGGGTGAATACTAAAGTTGAAACATCCCGTATAGCAGAAAGGAAAACGAAGGAAGGAAGCAGAAGCTGTGAGGAAACCTAGATTTCCTAAGAATCCCGTGGCTATCTTCCGTTGCATCTTTGAGTAGCTCTGTGTCATAGTAATTACTCCTAGCTGAGGTGTGGTAAATAAGGTGTGAAATGGGGATTAGGTTTGCCAGATTTTGCCCTATTGTCCAGGTTATGTTGTTTGGATCTTATTGTTGCTTATCAAACTAAATGTTCTACTGGTTTTCCTGATTAGTCACAAACAGTGACATTTTCTTCTTTTAAATTTAAAATGAGAGCCCACTGAGCTATTATTGTCTGGTTTTTGTTTTGTTTTGTTTTATTTTGGTACCCAGGATCTAACTAGGGACCTGGCGCTTGCAGGCGGCAGAACCACTGAGCTAAATCCCCAGCCCTCACTGGGCTATTGTCATGTGCTCTTCTCCCCAAAGCTTAAATAGTTTCTATTGACTCATATGTTTTGTGTGGTAGGAACACATATGAGTATACAGATGTATTTGTGTACATTAAATATATATTAGTAGCTGTCCCTTCCATCTTGCAGTTATGAAGTTGTTGATGGAATAAAGCTTTGGATCAATCTGGAAGATTAATTGAAAAGTAGATGAGGCTGATAGCAGTGAGGTTAAATGTTGTCTTCTCAGAAGTATCGATTATTCTATCTGCTGCAGATCCCTTCGAATTGATTGGGTGTCTCCAGGGAAGCCAAAAGGCATCATTCTTGGATATAATCTTTTACGGAAAACATGGCATCCATGCTCTAAAACCCAGAAGTTAATGGAGGAACACAGCAATGACTTCTGCAAGGTGGTGAAGTGCCCAAAACCTAAAAATATCTGTGGACATATTTGCTTTTCTCCCGAAGCTAAGGTAAGTTTTCTCAGGCCAGTCAGCGGAATGTATTTTGCACACAAAACATTCCTGGAAAAATCCTTTGTTTCTTATATCATGTGTTATCACAGTAAATGTTTCTACTACTGTTATATCAAGAGCCCATGAACAAGAAAGAATGTTTTCTGTCATCCTTTTTATCCTTCCCATTCTTTATCATCTTTGCAGGAAATATGAGCTTTTTAGAGTGATATGGAGCCTCCCAAATTTGTATTTGACTGGGGGACTTGGAAATTTTTTATAACAAATCCATTCAGCTACAAATGTTTGTTTGTTTTCAGGACCCTGATGAGTGACTGTGAGCAGGGCCTTTTGTGTTTGTCAGAAATATTTTAGAAGTGTGGCCACTTGTAGATTAATGTTCCTATTAGTTGCTGTTTAGGAATAAGATCAATAATACAGCCAGACAGAGGAGTTTGTAAATGGCCTTTATTGACAAACGACACAGAAAAATCCTTAGTTTGAAGATATGATTTCATTTAATGAAATAACGTTCATATTTATCAATAACTTCACATATTCAATGACTAAAACTACTACTGAATTCATAAGAGTCATTGCAAAATAACTCAGTAGTTAGGAAAGTGAGTTACTGACAGTCTCCAAAATTGATATTATATTTAAGTTATACAGTACTTTAAGCTACTAAATATGCTGTGTCTGATGAACATACTTTTACTGAGAGGAAAAATGATGAAATAAATTTGCTCATTAAAAATATTTTCCAATGAGAAAGAAAGAAAATTTGAAAAAATGTTAGGCAAAACACAGACTTCACATCTAAATTTTTTAGCTTCTATTATGCTTGTATATCCTATCCAATGAGAAGCTGGCAAGCAGAAAATAGTTGTATAGACACAGGCATTAAAACTAAGATTTGCCCCATTCAGAGAGCAATATATTCATCAAAATGAAAACTGATTGTGGCAAAAAAAATATCAAAGTAGTTTAGATTTGTATAAAATATAAACTTTTACCTGTAGTGGTTAAATGAAAGCTAAAGTAGAATACAATTAGGAAATATAATGTCTTACTTTAAGTTTGCTCTAAAACATTAAAAGGTAAAATGCTCTTAAAATGTCTATATTAAATTAAAATAGAGATGTCATGGGGTGAAGAAAAAATTAATAGACCATAACAGAGTATTAATAAAGCATAATACTTGGCAAAAATTTCCATATGTTCAGGCTAAATTATTTATGAAGTTACTTCTGCCTTTCTTTACACTTTGATATCAAAACTGGAGTTTAAACTTTCAAAGAGATTTAATGAGTCTTTACACCAAATAAGTGACTACTTGGTGTAATATTCCTGAATGCACGATTCTTAAGAATAACAAGGAGCTATTTAGTCTAATTTTGAATCACCCAAAGGAATGATTAAGATGAGGAGAAAAGACAGTCAAGTGTGGTAGAGCATGCCTGCAATCCCTGCCTTCCAGGAGGCTGAGGCAGAGAGGTCACAAGTTTGAGCCCAGCCTGGATGACTTGAGGGCTTAGCAAGACCCTGTCTCAAAATAGAAATTTAAAATGCAGACTGGACATAGACCTCAGTGTGAAGGCTCTGGGTCCCCTCCCCAACACTGAAGGGCAAAAGGAAAGATCAAGGCACAGTCAACTACTCTACTAAAAGACAAAACAAATCACCTTTGATAGAGGATACGTGTAAACTGAGGAACGGGGAAAAATGAAGCAAAGCTGAACATTTAGCAAAGGGATTAAGGGAACGTTCATCTAATACGCTTGGAGAGAAACGTCGCATTGCACCGTTCTTGTAATATAGATGCTACACGTGATCAAAAGGGAGGCAAATTTAATGATGACTTTAAAAGTCTTATTTTTATCCTGAGGACTTCAGAGGTAACATCGGTATTGTCAGTGAAACAGAATAAATGAAATCAATTAAAATCTTAAGAGAAAAGTCTTGTTTGCAAATGTTGACTTGGTGGGGCACAAATATGTATTTCTTGGAGTGAGGCTGTAGAGAAGTAGGAAAGAAGTTTTTATTGCGAGTCTGAGAAGCTCATGGCTAAGTCCGTATAAATACCAATGGGACCAAAATACAACTTCCAGTTTCACCACATGATTGCAGTGTGGCTCTCAAATCCCAGGGAACACCAGCCCCAGGGGGTTTGTGAAAACAAACTCTGATTCAATAGTCTTGACTGGACCGAGAGAACGTGCATTTCTTTTCTTTTCTTTTCTTTTTCTTTTTGTGGTACCAGGGATTGAACTCAGGACCTTGTGCTTGCAAGTCAGGCATGGCGCCACTGAGCTAAATCCCTGGCCCAAGAACGTGCATTTCTAGCATGTTCCCAAGTGATGCTTCTGCGTCTGCTCCAAGGACCACGATTGGAGACTCCATTTGATTACGTAAACTGCTTCTGAAAACCAGCGAGCAAGGAAATGACCTCCTCTGTGGAAATGCTCCAGATGAACCAGCTCAAGTTACTGAAATTTCTGTTTATGCCTTGTGAGACAATGACCTTGAAGGCTGAAGTAGAAGACTAGAAAACACCGTTTAGGGTTAGACCTCCCCAAGAGAAATAATTGCAGAAAATCATTATTTTGGGAACCCATCAGGAATCTACGCCAGACCAGGGGAGAAGAAAGGGACGAGATTCTCATTGCTGAAGAAGCCTGAGAAGGATGCTGAGAATGAATGGAGGGGTGTCAACAGCCTAGTGACTCCTTACTCCACAGAGTTTCAGGGTGATAAGTCCTGGGTGTGTTTCCTGAAAGAAAAGACTGTGAATGTGCTTATATGTCCCAAAACACACTGTATGTGAATGATACTTCAGTAAGTACTTTAAGATCAAACAACAAATGCCAAGACTATAGGTCACTGCCATAAAACACGAGGGAAATGAGTGGATATGAGTAAAAGATTACCCTGACCAGCATTCCTAAATCCCAAATGAGCACAGAGAAGATTTCTCACTTCACTCTTATAAGTGGGACATAATTGCGAAGTGTACTTTTCACCTTTTCACACAGAATATGACACTGGAGGTAGCAGGAGTCAACTAATTTATCCTTGGCATTTGACTGATTCTGAGTCTTCATTGATAACAACTAATCCCAGGAAAAATAAATTTATTACAGCTGAGAGAGCGGAGCTGTCCTTTGCAAATGAGCCCGAATTCTTTGCTTTAGGTGACTTTTGCGAGGGGGTGAACTGCTGAGCTACTGTCCCTGTTGAAGACTTAGAGATGCTACATTGTGCATTTACTGTGTTGAACTTGGTTCAAATGTTGGTATACACCGGAGGTAGCAATGAACAAAAAGGAAAAGGAGAAGGACTCTTAAATTGATTTTACCTGCCACGGGAAGTATGCACCTAATTAATGCAACTTACGCTGAGAAGAGGTTCTGAGGCCACATTTTGGGAACTATTCCGTGTTTGATTTGTTGTATATACAACATGTCAGTCTCTATGGCCTGAAGGGAATATGCAAATAATGATTTGATTGTTCAAGCACATAATTTCTTCCACAACTCCTGGAGAAAACACAGATGTAAAAAGGCTTTTGAAAATTAATTTCCATATAAATTTCCTTTTTTAAATGTGTTACTTTATGATGTAAGTGTTGTGTGTGTGTGTGTGTCTGTGTGTGTGTGTGTGTGTGTATTTTGGTCTTTGTTGAGATTACTTTGTCTGAAGATTGGTTCATAAATAAATAATCATAAATTATCAGGAAAATTCAATTTATTTTTAAAAAGATCAATGAGAGACATTTTTCATACATGTCCATACAATCATTAAAATAAATACATATATATGAACAAAAATGTTCATTACCAATTCTGAACATCTTAATGTTGAATCACTGAGATTCAAAGGTAATTATTATTTATAGGGTATCCTGGTAGAGAACAAAGTATGTCTGAAAGCTAAAAAACAAGCTGCAGTGTATCAAATAATATTTACAGAATTTGAATGATGCTGGAAAATACATTTTAAACCCATGAATTGTGAATGATGTGATCTCAGATCAAGAATCTATAAGAAATATTTATATTGCATGGCATATAGTACTCTTAATTTAACTGGTATCTTTTGAAAACTGATTCTGAACATTCAGGTTTGTTGCAATGGAGTTCTCTACGAGCCCCAGCCTGGATACCACTGCTGTGAAGAAAAGTATATCCCATTCCTTCCAAATTCCACTGCAGTTTGTTGTGGTGGCAGAATACAAGAGGCCCAGCCCAACCATGAGTGCTGCTATGGGTATTATGCTAAAATACTACCAGGTGAGGATTATTGCTGGGTGTCCTCAATAACTTGGGAACATTGAAAACATAAAAGCATGGTTCATGTCAACTATTTCAAGAACTTTCCCAACAAAAAGTAAACTGGGAACCCATATCAAATGACCTGCATTAAATATAATTTGTTTCAACATCATTGAAATGTAAGCAAGACTATGTAGAAACCAAAGAAAGACCACCAGAGACTTACAGTCTCTTATGAAAGGACGTAGTCAGTTCACCTCTTGGTGAGCACAAAGCAATCCGCACAGCTAGGAGATAGAGGGTGGAGAGTGGTTCACTGCTTACAATGTGTAAGGAGGGCACAAGAAGTAAGTCTCAAGGCAGTGTTCTCCCCAGACAGAGCAAGCAAGGGCCTTTCACAGGGACACTTATACCTATTTATACAGGGAAGACTCATCATCATGTGTAGAAATGGACACACTTCTGAGCATGCTCAATTTGAGGTCATGAGCACTTGTACAAAACATGATGGTGGATGCCAATGACTGGGCAGAGAACAGCGCATTGTAATTAGCATGGTTCACTCCAGGTCCCCTGAAAAAAATGGGTCAGAACTTGATGATTTGGGTTGGTGCCTTGTATGTTTCTCCAAACACCCTTAGTTCAGCTGAAAAATGAAAACCAACTTTGAAGATTAGCTAGTAGTCGTGAAGAGATAATGGCTTTGTGAGTATAGGAGTTTACCCCTGATAGTGCCTGCCTTGCCCGATGGCTAACACAGTTACCTCCCTAAGAAATGTATCTAGAGATCTGGCCAGTTAACTATGTCTTACTGCTTTGTTTTATTCTCATGGCTCAATATTTTCACCATCAAATATATGAATCACTAACCATCCCATTTCCTGGAAATATTTTCTTCTTCCTCAGAATATTTCTGTTTCAGCATTGATTGTGCATGCATAGATTATAACTACAAATTCCTTTTATCTGAGAATTGGAGTCCACTGGCAGTATCCTCATTCTAGGTCAGGCGGGGGAAGGAGGGTTGGGGCAGAAGGTAACAAGTAGGATCCACCCTCCCTTTTGATTCTATCGACTAACCGAACTAGCCATTTCTCTCCAAATTTCAGTGACAAAAGCAATGGCCGGTGAATGTATCCAAGGACAATGACAACAATAACTGGCAGTGGGCTGGGGATTTAGCTCAGTGGTTCTGCCGCCTGCCTTGCAAGCACAAGGACCAGAGTTCGATCCCCGGTACCAAAAAAAAAAAAAAAATAACTGGCATTTATAAAATGCTAAGTCTCAGCTAGGCTCTATGTTTCATGGCTTTGCAGGTGATATAATACTTACATGTATAATCTTCACAACTTCAAAAAATGGTGCTTATGTACAGTTCATAAGTGAGAAAGTGGGCTCGGAGAGGATGAGCAACACCCACATTCACAGAGGTAAATAAGCGTCTGTGAAGGGCTGCAGTGGGAATGCAGGCGTGGCTCCCTACACTCTGGTCTTCTGAGCACTTTACTGTCTCTTTAGCCAAAATGTGCTAATATTTGTTAACATTTTAAAAATAACTACTGTAGACTTCTAAACATTCTCATGACTATCGCCGTCAGTTTCTGTCTATCCTGGAAAAGCCATTGAAAATACAGGTATTTTCCTAAACCCTAAGCTTATTACTGATGTATTCCTTAAAGTGCAGAAAATGAATATGGGAAGCAGAGAAGAGAGCTAAGTTTTTCTGAGACCCTAGGAAAGCTGACTGTTCTGAGATAGCTCCTTTCCCATGAGATTGAAGCCTGCTACTTGGGTAATTTGGGCATTGATATTTTAGTGTTCCTTTTGTTTTGTATAAATATATCCAACCAAAGAATGTGGGATGAGAAACTGTTTGGCCCAGTATCTCTTCTGCAGAATACTGGAGAAAAATGGAAGGTGTGATGCAGGTCTACTCAAGACAGAGAACCTGCTCATGCCATATTCTCCTTGCAATCCATAGGGAAAAGCTGGTCTTTATAGCAGTGCTGTTATTTCTGATTCTCCACCAAAATACTTCTATAGCTAAATCACTCTTGACAGATTTTCCAACTAAGAAAATAGGTTGATGGAAATGAGAGTTTTATAAAAAAAAAAAAAAGTGTTAACTTCTTTACTGAATTATAGCTCAGAATTGTTAACAATTAATCAAATATTGTGAAATGTTTTGTGTACTCCAAAAATTTACATTTGGGGTATTTTCATGTATTTATTTTCACCTTCCCTTCCCTGCAAATAACCAGGTTAAAAATTCTAGGAATTAGGTTGGCATTTCCTGTTTCGTTCTTACCATTCCTCATACCTTTCGACCACATGCAGCTTTTCTCCATGTGCAACTACACGATAGCGTTTTCATCTCAAAATCACATGAATATTTTTGATCACATGATTTGCAATAAACTGTTCAAGCCCAGAAAAATACCCTTTGTCCCTTAAAAATTAATGTGAAAGACATGCTTGCATGTGTCAGTTCTTTAGCTGTTGAACTCTGTCTGCTCCTTTTCCAATCCTAGCAGTGTCAGCTTTAGAACTAAGAACACAATCTACTTTTGTTTTATTTCAAAATAAAGTGAACGTTTTCCCCCAAAATGTAATAAGCCATGGAAGCCCATGAGTCTCTTATTAATACTCTATTAATGACTGATTTTTAACACAAGAGTTAATATCTCCATTATCTGTACACACACACACACACGCACACACAGGCACACATGCTTACCTGGTTCGAAAGCATTTTAGTATCTACCAAACTGTTGAGGATGTCCCACATTTAGATTTTTTCTAAGTATTTCACCTTTCACAGTATCAGAATGTGTACCATGCTGTCAAGAGGGAAAAGAAGCCCACAGTTTTGTGGAATAATCAAAGATGGTGTTCGCTCCAATCCTTCATCTCAGTGCACCCAATGAAGAGATCTTTCCATGACCTCTATCCTCAGCCCCCAATCTTTGTTAACTAGTTTAAGGCTGTTTATGCCACAAAAGGAAACATAGTGATCCCAAGCCATCTTCTATCTAAATGTAATTAAAATCCAATCTGTAGTCTGCCAGTTTCAAGGCTGAGATGGGAATAGGCATTTTGATATTTGTAGATGAGCTTGAAATATTGGTTAATAATATTTACTTCCTTTTTTCTCTGCACTTTCCTTCATAACAAAGAGCAGCAGAGAAAAGAATGCTCGTTACCCCCCACACACACACTTTTTTATAAATATGCTAATGACCCCAACTAAATGTTAATGTGGGTCATTCTTTGATAAGAATAACAATTAACTGTTAGACTGCATGGTAGCTTTTAGAGAGAAAATATTTTCAAGCCCAGCCTGAAATAGATTCATTTTGAGAGGTTAATGAGAAGGTGACTGATCCTTGTATCTTATGTCTAATACCCTTTTTAAGGAAAAAATCATTTTATTTCTCACTGATACTATCTACATCTCTTGTTATGAGGCCTTTTCTTCTGACAATAACTGAATATGATTCAGAGGGAGTGAGGGAAATACAAAATATGTAAACCAGTTAATATTTGTTACACTTAAAAGAGGCTTTCAAAGAACTGCTTCTTTGCCCAGTAGAGTTGTGTACAGTTTCTTCTCTGCCCGCCAGCATATGGGGTGCTACTGAGTGAAAGTGTGAGTGAAAAGTGACAGTGTCAGAGTGTTTCAGACACTAAGTGTTAGATGATCTCATTCTAAAATATTGTATCGTGTTTGATGGTTTGATGCTGAACAATTGGTGGGCATGGTTTCTGGAGTGAGACTGCCTCCATTCACATCCCATTTCATTCACTTCCTAGATGTTTGAGCTGCATCGAGTGACTTAAACTAAGAATATTAGTGGGAGGCTAATATCTCAAATGTCCATTGAGCTGATGAGCTGGAATCCCCAAATTCATTGTCTTTCATGTTTGTAATAATGGAGCATAAGAGTCACGTGTCTAACGGCCACTGAGAGCCTTTGAGACCAAGGACCTCACTGGCTCTTTCAGAAGTAGCAATCCTTTAAATTGACTTCTGCCCATTCAACCTGCAACCCTTGAGGAGAGAGTCTTGGCATTTTGTGTGGTGCTAGAGCCTAGCATCGAGGCCCTGGAAGACACACTCTCTTCTCACAAATAGGTATTCGGAGACTTTGTGTCCATTCAGTACTGCCACTGCTGAAAAACAGAAGGAACACATTTTTCAAGACCGTGGACATAAAAGAAGGATCAACCATTGAATGAAAGTGAACTCTTAAAGAGGAAATCAAATATCTCGATATATTAGTGTTTTAACAAATACAAATGTAATGGCTGAAAACATCACAAATGTGTCCCATGCTGCTCAAAGTCAGAAGTTTAAATAGGTGTCACTGAGGCAGCATCAAGGTGTTCCCAGCAGAGCATTCCCTTCTGGGGAACAGACCACATCTTCTCATCTTTCCCACCATCCAGAGCTGCCCATATTCTTTGGCTCCCGGTCCTTCGGGTCTCCCTCATGCATGCCAACTAACCATTTCTCCATCACATGCTCAAACTCAGCTCTATCTGCTATCTTTGTTGTCCTTTGCTATGTAACATAGCATCACATCTTCACAAGTCCCAGGAATGAGGGTGTGGACCTCTCTGGGAGGTCACATTCTATTAACCACCCTAAAGTTACAGTTCATAACTGTGAGTATTAAGGTATTTCTGTAAACTTGAGAGATACAACTCTCAAAAGTGAATGTAGAAAGACACGGTCAGTCTGAGTGCAAAGAATTGGAAAAGCACTGAGCGCAGACCTGCTCTGGCTTAGGCAGCTGCCTTGGAGATGGGAGAGAGGCTGGCATTAGGGCTGGAAACCACAGGGAGGTTAGGGCTCACAGTCTTAGTCATGGCTCTGGAGTCCAGGACAAAGTGTGACCCAAGCCGTTCATTCTTTTGATGGAATGAACAGATATTACAAGGGCTAATACAGCCAACAGTGTGTCCTTTCTAGAGCTATATGAATACAATCGATCATGTTATTCAGTAGCCTCTTT